CTAGTCAGACCTTCAATTCAGTTTGCAACCTAGACCTATTGTCTGTTAATAAACATGTCATAAAAGGCAACTAAGTAAGAATATGTTGGACAGATATCACAGCCTAGTTGTAAACCACAACATAACGTGCCACACACACATCCCCCCCCCCCCCCCCCCCACGACTAAGAGTGAATGCAGAAGAAGACACACAACCCAACCTGTTTTTTTTTCATTCATCTTCTGTTCTTACATTTTAATCTCATTGAAACTCAAATATTTATTGACAGTTCTGCTCAGATTACTTTCATCATATCCCATGAACATCACAGCCACGCAAGTCTCCTCCATGGCAATCCCGTCTGATATGTCTTGAGCATCCAGGTTGACATATGGCAATCCCGCCCTATGGAGAACCAGGCCTGCTTCTGACATTTATCCTATTATGGAGCATGGGCCCTCAGCCAACTCGTCCTGTTTGTTTCCCACCACGTACAGCTCACCCCCATGTCACCCCACTCTTGTTTCTTCTTCTTCTTCTTTGATCCTTCTGTCAGAAAACTTATAATCAGGAGGCCGTTAGCCTTCATGAAAGCTATTGTGCAGTCTATATCCTCTAGTGTACCATACAGCTTTGTCTTCATTGTGGCTGAAACAGGCCAGATTGCGTCTCGGTTGTCAGCATACAGTTGACAGTGTTGGAGCACATGCTCAGCATTTTCGGGTGCCACGCTGCAAGGACACGTCTCCGTGTTCCCTACAACGACAATTGTGAAGTCTGTTGTGCAACCCAGCCAAGAAGATTCCAACGCATCCCAACCCAGAGGATCCCAAATTAACCCAACTCAGAAGATAAAGACAAATAGCTTTATTCGACAAATGAATGTACTGATACATAGACTCCAGAGAGATGTAACCAGGTTCTCTAGTTCATACGAGAGAAACACATGTACAATGGTAGAAGCTATTTTTCTGTCTGTGCGTGTGTCATCGGGTTCGTGCAACCCCCCCCCCCCCCCCCCCCCCCCCAACAGAAGACCAGAAACGTGGGCACCCCTATTTAACACAAATGGGTGCCCAATGCAGAGGGTTTTTTAACGTTAACATTATGGTGTAAACATAGAGAGCACGAAGGTGTCTGTGATTCTACCATCTAATTTCTGAAGCTGTTAAAAAAGCCTGGCCAGAAACGACTGCTGCTTGTCAGCGAATCTCATGTTTTAAACACATTAATTCTGCCAAGGATCAAGTTTACTTTATTGGTTTTATTGATGAATTGACAAGACATGTATCTATTTCCAAACTGTATGTTTCCTGTAATGAAATGACAGTAATTTATTCATGAAGTGTACTGACCTAATTTTGTTTTCTTCCGTTGGTGTTTGCTGACCCATTTTTGACCAACATGGCCAGTGTCTACAGTGTCTGTAGGCATGTCCTCTAAAGGGTTTAAACATTTGTTTATATTTTATTTACGCGTGAAAGAGGGGGAGGGGGGAGGGGGGTCATCAAAAAAATGCACACAAGTGCAGACTGCAGTGGGAGGCTCTTTACATGTAATGTAGCATCTGACATAAGGGAAGCTGTGTCAGCAAGCCCAGTTGGAGCTAAGTGGAAATTCTGTACGTCAGTGACCTTTGCAAGGGGACATTTCACAGCTGTGGATATTAGCTAAAGCCCCTTTAAAGAGTTGTCCATTGCACCAAGATCCCCACCAATGGAGATGGCAGCTTTTGTGTCAATACAAGCCCGATAGTTCCCAATTCTTTGCTTCATCTTCTAAATGGCAGGGGGAGAAAAAAATAATACAATCCACCTAATGGTAAAGAAAAAAAAAGCCGACGTTTTTGACCATCGCCAACTCTTCATTTATTTTCACAATTAACTGTTAGTTTTGTTTTTTGTTGCAAACCTGATTCTGTTTGCCCTACAAACGAATAAAAATAAATAAATAATAGAAAGCAATGGAAAGAAACATTAGATAAAGAAAGAGAGATCTGAATTCCTCAGGATACCATGAAGTGCATTTAAACTGATGACTGGTGTAACATCCAAGTTGATAAGACCTCAGTTATGTCATATAATAATGGGGAAAAAAAGGTGTATTAAAATCAATGGTGGTTAAAAAATTAAAAACAAAGCATAAACTACATTAAAGGATGAATACGAATACATTAATGAGACATACAATCAAGCAAGCAACAACAAATCTGTCCTCATCTTCACTGAAACAAAAAAAGGGGGGGGGGGGGGGGGGGGGGGAACTGATCAATGACCTCCAATGTGAGCTAATTCAGATGCTTGGTCCAGCTACTCAGACCAGGTGGACCTAGGTTTTCTCGTCCCACAAATGTGACGTCTTCTAGTTACTGATCCTTCCCAAGACCTAGGACCCTCCTGCTGAAACTCTCAGATAGTGTCGAATACAAGAGTTCTGTTGTGTTGGCAACCAGAGGCATCTTAATAGCATCAGGGGTCCCTGGGCAAACCAGTGTGCTGGGGCCACTTGACAACCACTCGCAGGAATGAAACTTTTACTGATAGCAAGTCACTTGACATACACAGATTAGCATGAGGCTCCTATGCTCGTGGGGTCCCGTGACATGTGCCCAGCGAGCACATGCGATAAGATGGCACTGCTGGGAACTTGCAACAACAACAATGTCAGTATCAAATCTGTGAGCTCAGTTGTGTGACAACTTCCAACACTGACAATACCAGCATCACATACATGAGGTCAGCTGCTATCATCAAATAGACGAGTGCATTTGGAAACTTGCAACACTGACAGTGTCCCCATCAAATACATAAAGTCAGTGGTATGACAACTTGCAACACTGATAGTGTCCCCATCAAATACATAAGGTCAGTGGTATGACAACTTGCAACACTGCTAGCATCGAATACATGAGTTCAGTTGTGTGACAATCTGCAACACTGTCCATGAAACAAACAATCAGGTAATAAACTCTGACACATTTAGGAAAATGATCTTGTGTTAACATAGCTTTACCAAGAATTCTGTCACACTCGCTCCTAAAGAACTCAGAGGAGGATATGGTTACTCCTGAAGTGTATGATTTTTCCTGGGGCAACCTGACAGTCACTGAGGTTTCCTGGGACAAAATTATAAGTCATTTATTCCTAAAGTAAATGTTCCCTGTGACAAAGATATAAGTCATTTATTCCCAAAGTAAATGTTTCTTGGGACAAAGTGACAAGTCATTTATTCCCAAAGTAAATGTTTCCTGGGACAAAGTGAGTAGTCATTTATTCCCAAAGTAAATGTTTCCTGGGACAAAATGACAAGACATTTATTCCCAAAGTAAATGTTTCATGGAACAAAGTTATAAGTCATTTATTCCTAAAATGTACGATGTTTTCCTGGGACAAACTGACAGCCACTTACTGCCAAGGCGTAAGCCTCAGATCACATGGTCTGACCAGCTGACAGGTGTAAACTTGCCATGTCAACAAAACAGACAAGTGAATCAATGTTTCAATGGCTGGTTGAATCAACAACTAAGAACTAAATATATAAAGATATACATGTTCTTGCAACATCAAGACATCCAACAGTGACAGAATGTGAATTAAGAACAAACATATCATGCCATATTCAAGAACATACCAGCATGAACATACAAGAACAGACGTAAAATACAGACAGACAAGAATAGACAAACAGGAAGGGATCTATGAGAACAGACATAGAAAGGGAGCTATATGAGAACAATATAATTTGGACAGATGAGAACAGACATAGGTGACTATAAAATTTGATTTCTTCATGATATAACCTGACATCACATGTCAATAAAAGATGCTAAAACCAGATTAGCACAGCTGTTTGTCACTGCTGTCTTGTTCCAATTTATTTTTTAAAAAAATATTGTATTAATGGGCAGCTGTGAAACATCTGTGGAGAGAACTCAGAAGGCAATGAATATGAATATATATATATATATATTTATGTATGTCTCTGTGTGTGTGTGTGTATGAGAGAGAGACAGAGAGAGAGAGAGAGAGAGACTAGCATGAGTCACTACCCTGGCAGCCAAAAGTTTAAGACCATATAGCAAATGACTGTTTCCACACCACATAACATCATGGAAACAGAATGACCACCATGGTTGCCTCAAGTGGGTCCTTATACAGCAGTGGATGCAACTCCATAACAGTAGTGAAAACAGTGTTGTACGCTGTTGCCTATGAGAGTCTAATCAGCTATCACGTAGACACTGGCTCATATCTGCCTAAATATGATCCTTCTCAATTAGCAGACATTTCAGCCTAAAAACATCAAAAATTGCCCAACCTAAAGAATCGTGTTCCAATCTCATTCACAACAATGCTGTATGGCACATGCAGAAAGGTGGACTGCAAAACAACTATCATCAAGGTCAGTGGTCTCCTAATAAAAGATTTCTTGATAGAAGCATCAATGAAGATGAAGAGCTGAAAACATCAGGAGAAGACAATCCAATCTAAATAAACTCTGAGGCTTCACTTGAGCAGAAGTTAAAGCTTCTGAGTAGATTTGATATCTCTGACAGTCCTAGATCTGTGGTAGCATGCAATACAGAAGGCAGAAGAACAGCTTCACAAGAAAGGGTTATGGTGGTGACAGGAAACCAACTGAATGTGAAAATGTGATGAAATGAGGAAAGGGGGATGGAATCAGGATAATGGCTGGTTATGAGCTTACTGTGAACATATGGCATAAACAAAGATCCTACTATCTGAGGTGTGATTTATGCAAATATGTGTCGGTTATAAAAGTGCAAGCGCTATTATACAACATTTTAAAAAAAAGACAATTTGGACGACACTATGCACAAGAAAGAAGATGCAGATATACAGCAAAGATCACTCAAAAACAACAACAAAATCAGAACAAACAAGAAATATTTTAAACACACGCATACACATACATATATACAAAGTTAGCACTTCTTAAGATACACAGTAAAATTAAAATAGACACTGAACAGAAAAAAGAAGACACTTTCAAAGGACACCTATAATGGAGAAGACATGGACACTTCACAGACAGGCATGACTGGGTAAGCAATGTTGTTGTTTTTGAGAAACAAACAAAGGTCATGATTAATATTTGCAAGACAATAACATGATAACTGTAGATGTAATAAAACTGTCCCCAGAGGTGCCAGGTACACACCCACAAGGAAGATTAAATATCGTAAAGTATAATCACAGGATTCCTGACAAGTGATACAACTAGCCCTGAAACACATACACACACCAGAAACATGAATATGGTCAGTTATAAACACAGTGATACGACCAACATACACATACATATCCACTGGCACAAAGTTATGTAGCTCACAAAAATATCCAGGGATGATAAGAGCAACAAAATAGATGGAAACCACCAAATATTCTTTATCAAGAACAGACACAATACAAGCAAGACAGCCAAGAAGGAATCTTTTTACTGGTGATTTTACAGAAAAATTTACTACATTTGTTCTCTTTCCCAGAGGGAGAGAAGGTAGGGGGGAAAATCTGGTTTGTAAGACAAGCCAGGATATTCCTGGAGTCTTCTGCTTTTATCTCCAATATTTAAACCTTGAGAACTGGTAGTCAAGACAGATTCTGTCAACTGACCACAACTTCATGTTCTGAAAAACTTCACATTCTAGTCTGAAATGTCTCCCACTCTGATCTGAAATAATCTGGAACTTCTCATACACTATGACCTGAAATATCTTAAATGTTTCACATTTGCTGACCTGAAATCTGAAAGGTCTCACATATGCTCTGACCTGAAAAATCTGACACTTCTCATGTATTCTATGAAAGATCTGACACTTCTCACATTTTAACCTGAAATATCTTAATCTTCTCAGATATTCTCATACATTCAAACCCGAAAAAATCTGAAACGACTCACACATTATGACCAGAAATAGTCTGAAATGACTGACACACTACAAACTGAAACATCTCACATATTCTGACTTGAAATAATCTGAAACTATAACCACCATGACATTTCACAGCAGATCTCTATTATTTCCTTTTGCACCACAAAAAGTAACTGCAGGAATAAAAAACTTTAACAACAACAGCAAATTAAACAGATATAAAGAATCATTAATCTCCAATAAAAGCATTCATGGATTCCATGACATTGTTAAGAGCATTTCAATATAAACGATTACTAGCTCTGAAGAATCCCTAGCAAAGTCAGAAACAGAATTATATGTCCGAATGAGAACAAATAAAACATGCATTCTGTGAATTTCAAGAGGACTGGCAATTGACAATTAACATGCAAATCAAGAAGAGTATTATTATGAAGACAACTGAATTAAGACTATGAAAGCGTAATGTTACAGAAACATCACATCATTGTGTTTTTGCGTATAATCTTGAAATGTCATGAACTGAAATAAAAACATAGTATATTGTAACACATATACACACAGAAATGCATTTTATGTAATCATAATAAGAATAATAATAGTGAAATGTGATCAAAACAGACTAGCAAACATACAACGAACAGTTAGTTAAGAATGTGTGTATTTTCCACAAACTTCAGCTCACATTAAAGATGGTGCATATTTCTCTAATGAACAAACAAACAAGTCAGAACAAATCACATATTTTACTGACACTGCATGGCCCGGATAACAAATCACATGTCATCAAATGTCCATTTTATACCTACGGCCATAAATATAATTTAATAAATACCGTGTACTGACTAGATCATTCTGTTCTTGCCATAATTGAGATTGAAAATGTGTCTTTGTACACTATCAGACATCAACTTGAAAGCTTAATGAAAGTGATGCTAGCTCAAGGCTGTCAATTATCCCCCACCCCCCTCCACTTTTGTTGTGGAATGAAAGTGGTTTCAAATCTGCATCACCACCAATCTTATTTGTGTAGCTGTAAACATTATCACAAGAAAGCACCAATCAGCTTATCATCTATAAGCCATAGTTTACCTAGGGATGGAGCAGGTTCCAGAGTGTTTTGTCTTCTCCTTAAACTGGGCATTCTTGCAGTAATAATTCTGCTGCCACATTTTTTTTTTTTTTTTTCATTTCTAGAGCTGATTCATCAGCAGTGCCTGTCTTCAGCACCTGGAGTACATGGCCTTGTCTTAACTTGTGGAGTCTATCTTGTTTACTGTGTGCAAGTGATGCCTTTTTCTGTTACTCTAAAATGTTACCCATTAGTTTCTGCTGCTACTCCTTACAAAACCTCTTAGTCTTTTTTGCAGGTTAGGCCTGCATAAACTGATCAGCCCTACCCCAAGGTTAGGCTTATGTGGACTGATTAGCCCTACCCCAAAGTCAGGCTCACATAGCACTACCCCAAAGTCAGGCTCACATAGCACTACCCAAAGGTCAGGCCCACATAGCACTACCCCAAGCTTAGGCCTGCACAGACTGATTAGCCTTACCCTGAGGTTAGGTTTTCATAGGCTGGAAAGCCATACCCCAAAGGTAGGTCTGCATATCCATCCACTAACTTTCATCAGATAGCCAACATCCTCTTCAGCAAACATGCTGCACTAAGATAAAACCCACACCTTTTATCTCTTCAGTATCCATCAAATGAAAAGTGCCCTTCTAGCAACATCTCTAGCGATCTCTTTTCTGCCCTGCATTGGTCAGTCTCTACAATGACCACAACTCTCAGAGAATATTTAGAACAGTAGACAAAGAAATGTGGAATGGTACAGGCTGGTCTGCCCTCAACACCTCCCAGACACAGCAAACCACAAAAACCAGGGCCTTTCTCTTTACCATTACAGCAACTATGCTTTTAATTCAGTCTTCTTTGTCTCCCTCCCACATTCTCATCTAGGCATTAGCTTGCAATCAATCTAAAATTCTAAGGAAATGCACTGTTACCCTCATTATAACAAGGTCACGTTACGAATTTCTCAAGACCTTTTAGACCAGGTGGAGCAATTAATATAAAACATCAAAATGTTTTGCATTTTAATTCACAAATAAAACGAAACACACACACTGTGGCTTGTAATCATAATCTACCAAATCTTAAAGAATCCAAATAAGCCATATAATTGTGAAAGCATGCAAAATACGCTCTCTTTCACATAATATATTTTTAAAAAAAACCTTGGCTGAATGAATTGTACCCACGACAACACAATACCATCAAGACAGCCAAGAAGGAATCTTTTTACTGGTGATTTTATAGAAAATATGACTACATCTGTTCTCCTTCCCGGAGGGAGAGGAGAGAGAGATGCTAGGAAAAGAAAAATCTAAGACAAGCCAGGGGCATTCCTGGAGTCTTCTGCTTTTATCTCCAACATTTATTTCTTGAGAACTGGTAGTCAAGACATATTCTGTCAACTACTGTTCTGACCACAACTTCATGTTAATTGCAAACACCCACACACTCGTTCTTAACATGACATCTTGTGGCTTGTAACAAACATTTGTCATCGCTTTTCTGTGCTACAATTTTAAACATCACATCAAAGTGTGTCTAACATGCTGTTAATGATGTATTTTCAACATACAATAAAAACACAATATAAAATTAAATCGTAAGCGGCAACCAATAAAATACTGGTTGGGCGTCCAAGTATACTCACCACAAAACACACAAAGCCAGGAATAACAGACAGATAATTCCCGACACGTTCACAATTAAAACCAAATCTACAACCACCTCTCCTCCCAGAATGCAAATTTATGTAACCACCACACCAGAATTTTAAAGCTATATTTGGGTATTAAAATCCTGTTGTCCTAGAACTGATAACGAGACACAATAGAGTGAAACTGTTAACATTACAATTAAAATAATAATAATAATACGATGTAAACATTTAAACAGTAATGTCTGACGTGTCCGATGCTTTAACAAGGAAAACACATGTCTCCTCCCCTCCTCAACCAGTTGTCTACAACCCATGTGAGTTAAAATGAAAATGAACTGCTGGATTTTGATAATAGAAAGTAAACTGACTGTATACGTTGAAACATATCCCTAGCAGAGGTGACACTGAAACAAAGTTATATAAATAATTGTTGCAATGAGATGGATGCTCAAGGGCAGGGGCAGGTGCCTATGACACAGTGAGATGGTAATGAGCGTGGACAATCTGGCACTATGTGGCTAGCGACGCCACATCATCATCAGTTCCAGATCTTCAAGAAGCTATCCCAGGATCCTGTGGCCACGGCCGAGCCGTCTTCAGTGACACCCAGGCAGCTGACACGGTTGTCATGACCAGCCAATACTCCTAAAATTAAAATATATTTATATATTTTTGTATACAGACAGAAAATTTCACTCGCAGAGAACATTTACAGACACACAGGACATTAGACGCAAATCACAAGAACACAGATTTTTTATAGGTACACAAAACATTCCTAAACAGAACACAGAAAAGGAATCATGTTCAGACACAGAACACATAAAGAACATTTATAGACAAAGAACATGTATTGGTATACAAACCATTTGCAGACACACAGAACAGGTATAGACATGGACAATTAAAAATACAAAATGTACAGACACATTTAAAGATACAGAACATTTATAGATATAAGCAACTGTCCATGTTCATATAATTTTGCAGCATACTGTTTCAATGAGCTCACTTCACTCTGTGACCTAGCTAGGTACTAGCAAATGTGTTTGCAACCCTTATGTTTAAGAGATCTTACTTTTATCACTACTGGACAACATATATGTGATACCCCATTCCCTACCCTAAATAAGAGAACAACCTGATTTCATGTAATTAATTGTGAAGGATATCTCTAAGCAAAAACTGCCGTAAAAGCAAAAAAATAAAAAATAAATAAAAATGCAGGTACTCGCCACAAAGTCTACTACAATAGTGTTTTTAAAAAAAATGTAAAGCAGCGGTATGGAATACAGTGTCTTTACCTGTCAAAACGCAAGCAGTGACATGCCTCACACAAGAATAAAAAATTGACTTCCACCACTGGCACTACAACTGAACACAACGATAATATGTTCAAGATCAGAGTTTTCTAAACTGTGTGTCGCAACACATTAATGTCCGGCTGCTTCTAGATTTAAGCTTTCCAAACTGTGTGTCTCGACACATTAGTGTCTCGGCTGCTTCTAGATCAGAGCTCTCCTAACTGTGTGTGCACACCAATATAGTGTCTCAGCTGCTTCTAGATCACAGCTGGCATATCAATAGGGAGAAAACACTGAATGAGGTATATGTAACTGCACTGATGTTGTGACCAGGTCCTTTTCTCCCTATCCAGTCTTTCTGGAAGCTACAGCACAGTCAGATATCTATCAATCTCCCACATCGCAGCTGCAGTCCCAATGCTCCAAGGTCTTGCTGTCCTGTGTGATGGCAGGATCATCAATCTCACTCTGTACAATTTAAGTACACATCACGCATTTGTGGGATTCTACATACAGCTTGGGCACAGCCACAAACTGTAATTTAACTCATTCTGTACCTAGCAACTCACCAGGAGTTTGCTAGTCTCTCATTAAGTGGGTGATTTCTCCTTAATTCTGTCACACTAACCTATTCCTTCCCAATGTTTACTTTAACCCATTGTGACATATATTATTATTATATGAACCTTTCAGAT